AACCAAAGGAGCGAGTGTGTGTGTGTGTGTGTGTGTGTGTGTGTGTGTGAGAGAGAGAGAGAGAGAGAGAGAGAGAGAGAATATCAAATGAGACTTTCTGAAGATTCCCTGCCTTAACTGATTCTTCAAGAATGAGAAGACTAAGCCAGGAAGAAACAGAAACATTGGAGATACATACACTGAGAGATGTTCAAAGCAATACCATCTCAAAGGGCAGGAGAAGGATGGCTAAACCATGTAAGTGTTGATTTGCTATTGTTTGATATTCTGTCCATCTGTGCCCGGGCTTCAAGATTAAGAGGGCCAAATCACCCCAAAGAGATAGAACGGTTCTCGAGTCTCTTGCTGGTCAGGATTCCTGTTCAGACATACATAACAGAATTGATGAGATAAGAGGGTCTCCTCGTATGCCACATGGAAATGTGGGTTTTGACAGGCACCAGTCTGTTGGTGGCACATTCCTTCACCTTCATTCACTAGGGGTAGAAAGCTAACCCCACCTCATTCACCATTCAGCCCTGCAGTAGTGGTAGATAAATGGAGTCACTGAAAGCTTCCAGGCCTAAGCCTGCTGGGCTGCCACTGGCAACCACAAAACAATAAAGATGGAAGGAACACAGCTTGGGACACAGGAAGGACTGGAGTAAAGGCAAAGTGCACCCTCCAGGGCACTCAGAGAACTCACACTCACATAAGGCTATAACAGTAAATTTCTTAAACCCAGATATGTTTCAGATCTAAGAACAGGTCAAAAAAAAAAAAAAAAAAAAAAAAAAAAAAAAATTCCCCATAAAGAACAAAGTAAAGGCTGGAGACAAGAGACAGGGCCAATACAGTTTCTTGGCTGCCACCTGGAGACTGCTTTGCAAATTCCAGAGGCCAGCTTGCCTGTCACGCAGGGCTCCCATTGGTCTAGAAGTCATTTGCATACTCACATTTCATTGGCTTACATGCTGTTGCTAAACCAATTCTTTTTGGGATGTTGCTAAGGGGATTTCAAAAAAACTGGCAGACAGGGAAGAAAAGAGGAAGTAATTCCCATTAGACAGGGGACTAAGGAGCTGTGGTTTCCTAAGTGGGAAGGGCAGATAAAATCAAGCAAAGTCTCCAGTCAGACAGGGCCCTCTTGTGGGAACTGTGCCTAGGAGCATGAAGCAAAGATAGACTGGAAGACAGAAGGCTATTGCTGATCCATGTAGAGGATATTTCAGATAGGATAGCCTTCTCTCCTTCCCTGCACTGGACACTAACCCACTGGCATATCATATGAGCTAGAGACACACAAAAGCACATGGAAGTGAGCTTGGGCATATGCCTGCACTCGAGGATAAAATGAGGAGGAAGCTGTGCAGGCAAATGCCTACAAATGTCCCCTAGCTAGCTGTGTGTTCCTAACTAGTCCCTCTGATTCTTCAAACCTTCATGTCATCATCTGTAAAACAAGATACTACAAAGCAAGCTGCTCAGGAAAAGTGTGACTAATGGGAGCATCTTACAGAGCTGCCTGCAGAAAGCCTGCACTGTTCAGAGTCTCCTTTTGTTTCTGTGTCTGTTTAAAGTATGCCCATTCATTCATTCATTCATTCATTCGTGTGTGTGTTGCACCTACCAGAGTGTGCATGTAGAGGTCAGAAGACAACTTGTGGGAATTAGTTCTCTTCTTCTATCATGCAGGTTCCAGGGATCAAAATCAAGTCATCAGGCTTGGCAGCAAGTGGCTTTACCTACTGAGCCATCGTGCCAGCCCCTATCCCCTACTGTATGAACATTAAAAATAAAAGGTGTTCCTTGGGGTTGGAGAGATGGCTCAGCAGTTAAGAACACTGGCTGTTTTTGCAGAAGACCCAGGTTCAAATTCCAGGACCTACATGGCAGCTAACAACCATCCCTAACTCCAGTTCCAGGG